CGCGATTTGCAATTTTGAGGGTCCCTGACACAATGAGGGTCTCCTATGTCAGTTAGAGGCCAGAGTGCCTAACAGGGGTCCTGTGGCCGGCAAGTGGCCCCGAGTCGTAACGGTGGTTGAGGGGGTCCGAAGAGGAGCCGGAATGTTCTCTCCAGACCAAAGATCAAGGGCTCAGTGGGATAGCTGAAGGGCCCGAAGGGCTGGCTGTAGGTCACATTAAAGCCCCGCCCATAGGGTCGTGATATCAAATGTCAGTAAGATGATCTGTTGCACCACCGAAAGGGACCCATGAGACAGAGCGTTCATCTGTTTCGGCCAGGGATCATGAACAACGAACATTCGGCTAAGTGTTGGTCTGAGCTCTGAGGTCCCATTTTCCAGGCAGGGACAAGGTCGAGTTCGCGATTTGCACTGGTCGGGCACCTGTACCGTTCAGGGGCCCGCAGTGCCCAATATGACATTCTGTGTCAACAAGGAACCTCGAATCGGATGGGTAATAGCGTAGCAATGACGCCTGTGGCACCCACCGGCGAAGTGGGGCATTTCAAGTGATACCTAAAATTTTCCTTCAGATGGTGCAATAGCAGCCATTTTGCGAAAGTTGCATCGTACACCGGGAAGTGGCTGGCACTCTACGTAAATCGGCACGCATGATTTAGGATGTGCAATATCCTGACGTGGTAAATGACCTGAGTGCCTTACCATAATTTATTAGCAACTTATCTGTGATCAGCTTGCTGCCTCCGAAAGCAGCGCATTTGCGCCGATGTGTACGCAAAACACATAACCGACAGTGGATATTTTTGGCTTGACGTGAGTTATTGCCTGTGCGTGGTGGCATTGTGGGAGGGTTTTGGACAGTCAGTCCTGGAAATATCCTCTCCCAGTGGCCAAGGCCATCAGTGACGACTTCGTGAATCTTTAAATTGCGCGTTATCAGGATCCCTGGTAGATCTCTTTTTGGCTGGCAGGGAACCCCGGATTGCACGTAAACGAGCTCCCGAAGAAGTGCAGCTTGCAGTATGGCAGAAGAAGCATTGTTTGAGTTTCTCCACAACGAAATTGTTTGCATTTATCATCGAAAATGAGCATGAAACCAAGAAAGAGGACGGTGGCCAGAATGCTGTCTCCAAAACTGGAGAGGATAGGGTTTGCTGCAGGGTACAGGATCGTGGAGAGGCTGACCCGAGAGTGGCCCAGATTCAAAGATGAATTGGATACAATGAAATTCATCTGCAAAGATTTCTGGCTCGCCATTCATCGAAAGCAGATTGATAACCTCCGCACGAATCACCAAGTGTGTATGTGCTGCTGGACAATCGCTTCAGATTTCTGGCAAATATGTCAGCTGGAAAGCAGTACCTAGAGTCAAGCCCCAAGTACCTTGCATACATGTGTGGAATGATGAGAGGAGCTTTATCCAACCTGGGTCTGAACTGTGTTGTTACTTGCGGAAGTCACCCACATGCCTGCGTGCAAGTTTCACATTCAAGTACAAAGAAGTTAGTGCTGTTTTTAAACTCTACCAGAGCAAGATGTTGGTTATGATCAGCAATTTGAATGCTGCTTTTTCCTGTCATTTCAAGAAGCAATTCTTGCACTTTGGAGAATGACCAGCTGTAGCCATCTGGCCAATGTGAACTCTTACAAAACAGGACATTGTGTGATAGATCTTGCTTGTTTACTTTGTATGATGTGTTATTGTACTGGGCTTGGGCAGATGTCATAAATATGTTTTATGACCATTCCTGTTGTATAAATGTTATGCTTACATAGTATGTCTCAGAACCATGCAAAACAATACATTGTAAATGTTTTGCATGCACCTTTTTCTTCAATATTTTCTGAACGTGCTAACACCAGTTTTATACTGAAGTGGCATTCTTGCCTTGGTTTTGTCAGCAGGCATATGCCCTGAAGCCTTACAATTAATGTTATAATCCATGCAGCTCCTGGTCTGGGTGACACATTGGTGAAACACATGCTTAACACCATGTTGCAGTCTGAGTTACAATCATATACCACTAAACCAGCAGGGTTGGAACATGTTTAGAACTGATAAGTAGCAAAAATCTCAACAATGTGACATGATTTACATCTACTGAAACTCCAGGACAGCCTCTTGAGTGAAGCACAGCTCGCTGCTGTTTTAGTTATGAGACTGCCAGCATAGAAAGCCTGCCAGCATTTCTGCCTTAATAGGCCTCCAATGAGCACATAACACTATGTTTACACTGGGGCTGATGCATGTTGGTAGCTGAGTAAATTAAACTGTCAGAGATATTCCAAAGCTGACTATGATGTGCCCTATCAAATCATAAAGTTATTTAGCCCCATTGTCATGGATACAAGGAAATGACAGAGGGCCTTTTGAAGTAATGAGTTCAATAATTATTATACTGACAGCTGTTGGCCAACATTAGGTTGGGGGGCACTGGTTTAATGATATTATCGAGTAACTATTGTTTGCATTGTCAATACTCAACCTTTCAGCAGTGATCTTGTGAAGATGATCTTGTCACTGTAACATTGTGCAGCTAAGTCACACTGTCCCCAAGTACACCAATGTTTACTTGATAATGTTGTTTAAACTAGTACCTCCTGGTATATTGAAGATTGATAACTGTCAGCAGACAAACTCTACATTCACCATGCTGAAAAGCTAGGAGCTCAAGGGCTTCATGCTCATCACAAGTATGTCTTCAAAAATAATTCCAATTTGCAATTTTTGGGGAACAGGATATTGGTAGCAGTTCCTGACAACAAAGTGCACGCAACAGTGGTAGAATACACATGCTAATGTGTCCCACTGGTCGCTTGGTGCTACTGGTCAGTTTTTTGCAATCTAGCACAAAGACTTGAAAGAGTGATTGGAGGCTTAGAAGATCATGGTCTTTGTACACCAAAATAAATTGTAACCAACATGTTAGATTCGGTGCATAGCAGAGGATCGTGAGAGCTGCAGCAGTTGCCGGAACGCCCGACTCCATGACGTACGTCATGAACCCACTGGGCAGGCTTCTGATCGGGTGTTATCACAGTGACGTCGAGGGGCATGAAGAAACTTCTACAGACGACCTAGAGAACATTGGTGTCCCACCCACGCATGGACGGGGCCCGCAACGTGGTGTGAAATGGCTGTCGCAGGACGTGGACAGCCAACAGGTCAGTGCGTTAATCGACGCCAGGTTGGCAAGTGTGGTCGATGGCAGTGTCTATTAATAGTACTTGGTTTTGGTTTGGTTTGGATTAGAGTCCTTCCCGCTAGCCATAGCGATTTAGGGGCTATGACAGGGAGGCGATGGTTCAGCAAAGCTGCTATCATCTGCGACTGCTGCTGCAGTGCTGTGCACCTTTGGGGTTTGTGGGGGTGCTCGGGACGGGTTGCTGGGTGACACCGAAGTCCGCTGATGGCTGACGGCCGCAGCGGGCCACCCAGGGAAGGTATGATGGCTGACAGCTGCAGCTGGCCCCTCAGAGAAGGAGCACTGCGTGGGCTCAAGATGAGTTGGTGGGGAGGAAATACGAGCGGATAACTTTTCTTTGGTCGAGCGAAGCAAAGATAACACTATGCTGGCCGTTTAGCGTCGCTACGATGATATTCGATTAATGCCGCCGCGTTCGTAATTAGTCGAAAATGAAACATAAACCGGCTCAGTGTATATCACACAGCCTTTGCCCTCAAGCGCGGGCGTCCAGAGCAAAAGGTGCCAGTCCCCAGACTGTTGGCCTTTCCAGGATCCGGCAGTGGTCGAAGTGGCGGGTTGAATGCAGCGCCACCTACTATTACGTATCAAAACGCCGTGCCATCGCCACGCACCATAGATGTCGCTAGCAACTGTCTTATCACGTGGCTCGCACTTGTCATGTGTCGTGTCATCCTCTTGACACTCGGTGCTGGTCACGTGGGCTGACCGACAAGTGTCTGCGGTTGCGTTTTGTTAAGATTGAGTTCAAACGTATGACTGGATTGGTTTCTGGGACCGGAGTTCACGCTAAGCAATACATTGCCTCGTGAGCCCGGCCTATCACCCGATCGCGAAATTTCGGGTCATTGACGGGATTTAGTGGCGAACGAAAAACGTGCTTCAATACCGGGCACGATCCGGCCTGCCCTCTGGCGTCATCCGACCTTTAGCGTGACAGCTACCACTGACCGCAGGCCATCCCAGTCAAGGGCAAACGATAGCAACAACGCGTCTTTCACGCCATTCTCCATCCACGCAGGCCCCTATTGGCCGTAATACTTCACCGAGAACCTGGCCTGGACCCTGACAACATATCCTCGACATGAATGGGCAGTGTCTCTGGCGTGTCTGACCGTGAAGCTCCCACGAACTTTTCCCTCTGAACCGGCCCGTCTGCTCGTCTCAGCATTGCAACGGTGTTGTACGTTCGTCTCAGCATAGCAACGGTATTGTCCGTTCGTCTCAGCATAGCAACGGTGTTGTTCGCTCGTCTCAGCATAGCAACGGTGCTGTCCGCTGCACCCCAGGGAAGCTCCCATAGGACGGCTTTCAGCTGCGCAAGTCTTTGAGTGTCGGTGCTCGCTACTATACGCCTCCAGCGTGTCACAACCCGGCGCCGTTAGATATCTGTATTCGGCGTAGTTTAGGCCGAATATGATATTTTCCGTTCTGGTAGATCGGGATAATCTGAGGCTCAGCAAGGCGAAAGTACCCAGGGAATAGAAATGGAACAGCACAGAACCAGACGCGAGGCATTGCCTACCCTCACAACAGGGCCTGGACAAAAGTTGATGTTAGATTATGTAGGTGTGCTTCGTATTCCACACGGGTGTTTGTTACCTGCAGCAATAGCCCACGTCAGCTGCTCAGGGTGATAAGGGGTTGTTTGCAACCTGAGTCATCGTTTTCGGTCTCCTTCATACGTTAAGAGTACATTGTATGACATGATAAAAAGGTCACCTTATGCGCCACGCGCCCCGTGTCAGCTCAGTGAACGCCTCCGTCTGCCTCTTCATAATACAACATCCCCCACGCGACCTGGCGTCGTGTATTGACCGGCGGCGTCAGCCCGCGCGCCTCAGAACCGCTTCATCTTCTGCTGTCGCGCCGGCTGCACCTGCGGCCCCGAGCGGAACAGACACTGGTAGAACACGAGCAGCGCGAACACGCAGACGGCCGACACCATGGAGACGTACTCGGCGCGGTTGGTGAAGGGCACGCCGCAGGCGGTGTACCAGCGGGCGCCGTGCGCAGGCCGCCGGCCGTCCGGCAGGCAGTGGAAGTCGAAGTAGCCCTCGTCGTAGTCGGTGGCGCAGAGGTACTTGCGCTTCTTCAGGGTCTGTCGGCGGCACGTGAGTTGGGTTTGGTGAGATGGGTTTGGTTGCGTGGGTGGTATGGGCGACAGGCGACGAGTTATGCTCGATGGGATGACACGAGCACGGAACGAACGAGTTAGGGAGCGGAGACATAAGCAATGGGCGAGTTAGGGAGTGGAGAGACAGCCTACGAATATGTAAGTTAGGGAGTGGAGACGCCGCTGATAAATAGGCGAGTTGGGGAGTGGAGACACCGCTGAAGAATATACAAGCTAGGGAGTGGAGACACATCCGACGAAAATACGAATTGAGGAGTGGAGACAGCCGGTGAATACACGTGTTAGGGAGTGGAGACACAGCCGACGAATAGACGAGTTAGGGAGTGGAGACACAGCCGACGAAAAGGCGAGTCAGGGAGTGGAATCAGAGCCGGTGAACAGGCGAGTTAGGGATTGGAGACAAAGCCGACAAATAGACGGGTTCACGGTGGAGACGCGGGAGGGTGGCGGACGGCACATACATGGAAGCATGACCAGATGCTGGACGAACCACGTCTTGAGACCGCCAGAAGATGGATTGCAAGTGGACGAACCAGCGTAGAGACATGACTGGAGAGTGAACAAGTGAGAAATGGAGACCGCCGGAAAACGAGCGTTAAATTGTAGCGCTTTGTTGTGTATGTCAACTCCCCCACTCTCATTTACCGCCCCCCCCCCCCCCCTTCCCCTTCCTCCTCACAACACCTGCTCTCACTGAGACCATGCCGCGGCCACCAGCCATGAGTCGGCTTCATGCCCGGCAAGGTTGGGAGCCCAGCCCGAGCATTTGCTCAGCGAAGGTGACCAATGCATGACCCCAATATTGCCCGTTTTTACTCCTATCTGGTATCTATATATACTCCTATCAATATCTGACATGACTAATGGTGGTTCAAAGGGTGGTATCTTAACCAACATTGTTAACATGCAAAATGGTAACATTGCCATGCCACTGTGCATCATTGCAGTTTGTAAGATCTTTACCAATTTGATCTCGAATCCAAAGACTAACCAGCTTGCCTGCCTTACCACGAAGCACAGAAGAGAAGCAGATCATGCATTGCTCATATCGGTAGCCACTGATGATGTATGCTTTCTGACATAATTACGTATTAGGGGCCGCCCGTAAATTGCGTCAAAAGCGGAGGGGACGTTTTTGGCAGAGCCTAACGCCATCGTAGTGTCGGCGTTAAGGGCATGGGGAGGTCTGGAACAGTGTAACGCGACGCCCAGGTGTGGCGGCTAATAGCACGAGCATCTTTTAGAAGCGAATCAATCCATAAACTCAAATGTCATCGGTTTCTTTTCATGACAAGGAACATGCCCGTCATTTGTTTCGCATCTAGCTCACTTACGAGCCAAATGATCGTTGCGTTTTGGGGACATTACGCTTAACACAGGGTAACCAGAGAGGGGGGGGGGGGGGATCGCCCAACGCAACTAGTTCGTAATCATGGAGTAGGGGATGGAAAATGACCAAAAGTGTGTAACGTAGCTGATAAATGACCCTTAAGCAGTTCTCAATCTGCAAGATGCCGACAAATCTGACCACGACTGCAGATACTTACCATGCCGAAAGCGGTGTGGACGTCCTGGTACACGTCACATGGGCCGACCTTCTCGTGGAGGCCTATGGAAACCTCGTCCTCCGGGTTGAAGAATACGGCCATGCACCAGTACACCGAATAGTGCAGCAGCAAGCAGAATGTGATCAAGTATGGGCGATTCGTTTGGCCTACCGAAAAACAATGCAAATGTTAACAATGATCGAGTACAGCGCCTAGTGAAAACGGGAAAAGACACACGGGGTTGGTTTGCAACCAGCACTACAACACTGGAACATTATCGACAATTGCAGTCGTTACTTAACTGAAAAATGTCAGCACTCACGAAACACACCGCCAAATTCATGTTTTGATGTAAAAATGTCGATACCTGTGACGCAAGCAATGATGCCAAACTCTTCGAAACATAATATAGAAATTTTCATATAAAAAGCCTTAATCGGTCCTTGTCATTAGCGCTTGCTTTTAACAGTAAAGCGTGGCATACTGAAGGTCGGTTATTACAAGAATCTCACAATGGCTACTAGATACGCCTGTTGTGTGATTCCTGCATTCCACAGCACACCTAATAATACATCAATTACAATTCACCAATGTAAAACTGCAAGATGACACTACGCCTTAAAGGGGGGAGGGTGCGACTGATGTCTTCGCAAAAACATATTATAAGGTCAAATGCTGCAAGTTATGACGGCGAGTGAGTTATACAATGTCAAGAATTACACGACCTACTTCCAAATACCAACAGAGGTTCACTACCGCTCGCACCAGATGCTAGTGCGGCGGTGCCGCAGTGAGTCGCCACTAGAGGAGGGGGGGGGGGGGTCGGCTGCCGCCGCGCCGCTGGAGGGGGGGGGGGGGGCGGCTGACCTGGCCGGGGTCGAGAGCCGTCGTCGGCGCGTCGGTCGGCGCACCACACCAGCAGCGCGTACAGGGCGGCGATCATCAGCAGCGTGTTCTCTGAGTGCGCGCCGAGGAGGGGGGGGGGGGGGGGGGGCTGACCTGGCCGGGGTCGGGAGCCGTCGTCGGCGCGTCGGTCGGCGCACCACACCAGCAGCGCATACAGGGCGGCGATCATCAGCAACGTGTTCTCTGAGTGCACGCCGCACAGGTCGTGCAGCGGGTGGTAGAGCGGCAGGAACTGCAGCACCCCGCCGGGCATGCCGCACACGCCGGCCATCAGGGCGCAGAGCAGCTCCCGACCGAACCTGCCGGACGCAGGGGCGGCCTGGGAGGCGGGCGCAGGCGCGGGTACAGCGTTGATGGGGACGGTTCGCCAATGACAGGGCCTCCCCAGGGCGCCCCGACCCGAGACGGGAGCGGCGCTCCGGGAGGAGAGGGGCGTCATGTTCGGGGAGCCCTGCCCACACCAGGGTGACTCCCGGTCGGACATGGGCACAGTACAGCCGACGAGGCGTCAGCGGGCCAGTGGGGGCATGCGAGCCATCGGACAAAGTCAGGCCGCTGCCTACTCCGCATGGTCACAGCATCATGTATCGGTCATAACCGAGGAGAACGTGACCTATGATACTGCGTCACAACGAAACTGGATCAAAATCAGTGGACAACCGCGCGTGCAGACCCAGTCTGGCCCGTCACTTAACTTGTTTCTGATCTGGCTTAATGCCTAGTGAGCCTAGTGACCAAGTCTAGTGATAAGGGCTCCCGCGTTTGCACACGTTCTTTCCATGCACAACAGTAGGCCCAATGAAATGCTTTTCCGGCGTTGGGGCCTACTGGCAGGGCTCCCCCAGTGTACACGCCGGGTCATGTTGCTCTGCGGGCCACCCGGCCGCCGCCTTACCCTCCGTGGTGGCCGTGTGAGTCGTCGCCGGTGAACACGCGCCTCCACAGCTGCAGAAAGAAGTAGAACGATACGCCGAACGATAGGTGGAAGTAGTACGAGTTCCACGGCACCCAGTAGTGGCGGTCGTAGATGTTGGGGTCGGTGTCGTGCCAGGTCCAGTGCAGGAAGCGCACGCACATGATGTCGTACGGCAGGTCCATCAGCACCTCCAGCAGACCGGCTGGGCAGAGAGGACACGACGCCCTCGCTCACAACGCTAACCCGGACATGGGGCATAAGGAAGTGTGCACTCGAGTGGTTTGGACGGAAGGACCCCACTAAGATGGAACACAAAACACAATTGTCCTTAAGACGGTACAAAAAAGGAATTGGGCACGGCAAGAGATACAGCTGCTAAAACCTAAATATCTGCATGGTGCATTGGCCACTGCTGGGTCGGGAAACCGCACCAAGGAGATGGGTGCATTTAAAGGGCGCCTCTGTGAGACTCGAGCGCTCAGGCGGGACTGCTTCCCGGCCAGCCGCGTCGGGCGCCTCAGATCACACGCTGGGTCGACATATGATCAGGTGACGGCTGCGCGCCTCGTATGAACCGGGCCTGCTCATATTGCCCGGGTGCCATACATCACTGCTGACTGCGACGGCAAAACGGCCCGTCCGATCTCGCTGGGCGCTCTCATGAAGTGACGGGATCATGCACTGGCGTGGATCATGACCGGCCGCTCGAAGTTCGAGCGGTGCTGGAAGTTCTAACGACGTGTCACCGCTGCCCGCGTTTTGAGGACCCGCTGCCCGCTGCTTACGTTCTGAGGACCCGCTGCACGCTGCCTACGTTCTGAGGGCCCGCTGCCCGTGTTCTGAGGACTTAATGTCCGCTGCTGCCTTCTCAGGGCCTGCTGCCCGCGTTCAAGGACCCGCTGCCCGCGTTCGAGGACTCGCTGCCCGCTACCCACGTTCTGGGGCCCGCTGCCCGCATTCTGAGGGCCCGTATTCTGGGGCCCGCTACCCGCGTTCTGGGGCCCTGCTACCCGCGTTCTAAAGATCTGCTGTCTGCTGTCCGCGTTCTGGGGGCCCGCTGCCCGCTGCCCGCGTTCTGAGGACCCGCTGCCTGCTACCCACGTTCTGGGGGCCCGCTGGCCGCTATCCGCGTTCTGAGAACCTGCCGTCCGCTGCCGGCCGCGTTCTGAGGGCCCGCTGCCGCCGACTCACCCATGAGAGCCTGCGCGTAGCGGGGCAGCCGGAGGTGGGCCACGGCGTAGTGGGCGGGATACTCCATCACCGGATCTGCGTCGGATTGGGCGGCGGCGTCAGCAGATACAGGACAGTCCACATCCAACCAGACACTGCAAGTGAATGCTGGCAAGCCAAAGCGGGGCTACCGCCTTTCTCTGCTGATAGATGATGAGCACCGGCTAGTTTTTCGATACATTTCTATCGTAGCCATCAGAATATGCAGTTAGGCGGTTCGGCTTCAAGACTACAAAGCGTTCACGGAAGACTCACAGATCAGCATGATATGTAGGGGCATCTTCCGCCCCAGAAAGACGATGGTCGTCTGCGACTGCCAGTAGTTCTCGATGTCGGGGATGTTCATGGAGATGTTTTCGATCACTAGGCCGTGGATCAGGGAGCCAAGCCACATGTAGGGCCAGCGTCCGCCCAGGTAAAATGCTGCAACATAACCACCGGTCGGCACCTTGCCACTCAAACGCAAAGGACCGCACATTGTGTTGGGAATAACGGTGCGATGGTGTTCTACTTCGGGTGGCAGTAGTCACAGCGAGAGTCGATGCGGAACCGAGAGTCGATGCGGAGCCATGTGAACAGGAATTAACGGCCGAAGCATGAAGTACAATCGTGCTCCCGGATTCCTCTCGCAAGGATCACCATACGCTCACAACTCTGACTTCGCATACGACATGGATGTGCATGCACAAACGATGCTATTTGAGTTAGGCGTACCCTGTACTTGGCATGACAGATGTGAGCAAGGGGTACCTGAATCATCTCGCGAATCGCCTGGGATCACGCAGCAATACATACAGTAATGTACGTATGCTCGTAGAGTAGAAAAGTGGGCGAGCTCGCCAAAGATGAGAGGTAAGCGTCGCCGGCACGAGGGCGAGATTGAGGGTGGTGAGGGTCTCTTGAAGGTGAGCACCGCCCACCCGTCCCCCGAGAGGAGGAGCATTAAGCTCACCGTGGAACAAAGCAAATTTGGTGCAGAGTACGTATTTTAAATGCGCGGAGCATGTAGGCACACTCGAGGAGTAAGATGGGTCCACTTAATGTGACATAGGGCTAGTAGAGTATTACCGGCGCAAAGTAGGCACACTCGAGGAGCAGTAATATGCACTAAACTCACAGTGAGATAGAGTGAGAATCGCCAGCGCGAAGTAGGCGTACTCGGAGAGCAGGAAGGTGGGCTGCGCCTCCCAGGCCTCGCTGATGGGCCGCAGAGCGACGAACCAGTCCAGGAACTGACGAGCAAACCGCCGCGGCCGGGCGGGGGTCAGTTTGTTGCACACCCAAGTACGAGGTCGTCCTCGCCAGCACCGGCGCCGAACACCAACAGCGGCCGTGTGCATGCGTCACGGGTGGTTCGGGACCCGCTTCTCCCGACGTCTGAAGCGCTGTCCCGCTCTCGTCCGACCCGCACCGAGTCCCTGGCCTTGTGTGGTGATGACATCCCCGGTGATGTCCGAGGCCGAGCGCTGCCGGCATGGCTAGACGAGCCACGCGGGCCGATGCGAGCACAGCTCCCCGTCGACGCCGGGCGCGACGCCTACACGACGACGCCCTGCGCACAACATCGCCCTGCTTGACGGACGGTGGCCGCCAGCACAGAGCTGAGGCGTCAGTTCCCGGTGCAAAGGGTATGTGACGTATTTACTCACAAAAGCGCGGCGCTGGTACGGGAGCGACGCCCTGTTGCTATGGCGAGCATGATTTGGTGGAAATGGTCCTGACGCGATGAGAGCGCAGCGAGGGCAGCCTATAGCCCGTGGTGCACCAAGATCGGCTGCCAACCCCAATCTCAGCAAGTGTGTGCTTCCTGCAATGCCGTTCCAGACAAATGGCACTTGCCCAAATATTTTTACACGGACATTATTACATCAAGGTAGATCGAATCGCTGGAGCGATCACGATTAGTGACCAACAGCGGCGGCACATACTGAATCACGCTGACAACCTGTCCCGTTACCACCCAAACGGGTCTCTTCGCAGTGAATCGCTTTTAAGTCCTAAATATGCCTGTCTGAATTGAATTGAACTGAGCTGAGCTGAGCTGAGCTGAGCTGAGCTGAGCTGAGCTGGGCTGAACTGAACTGAAGCTGAACCCGCGTCTGATTTGTTTCCGAGTACTCACGTTCTCATACTTGATCTCCTTGATCTCGAGGCCGAAGCCGGGCAGGTGCGACTTGTTCATGACTCCGACTGCCGCGGGCCGCCGGCCACCGGCCGTGCAGTGCTGACCCCGAGGTGAACCCGCGCCGCCGACTGCCGTATCGGCCGAAACGGAGCCTGCCGCCCGAGCCGCGCACGGCCAGGGGCGCAGCCAGGCCCCACACCCAGGGAGGAGACGCCAGACAGGCAGAAACTCCTCCGGATGCTGCCACCAGAGGCGTTGGCACCGGAAATAAACAGTGCCGACGAAGCATTTAAAACGAACTTACGATGGCACGGGAGCAGCCACGAACTGCGCTGGGGGTGGACGGCACTCCGCGAGCTCAAGCCAGTGTAAGCTCCCACGGCGGAGATTGTGAACGTGAATTGAATTTTTTCATTCCGAAAATAGCTGACGACGGATGCCATGGATATACGGAGACAGCGGATGATAACTGGAATATATTGTCCAGGCATCACAAAACACTCAAAATACTTGAAAAATGCCCCAAGAATGGCCGAAAATAACAACACATTGGATACATCTTAAAAAATTGGAGCATTTTTTATAGCATATCAATAGCATTACCTCATATTGTCTTTTAACGAAAACCTGGGATGAAGGTGATCAGCTGTTATCGACCAAAAAAGCACGAATGCCGACAAAACCAAAACTAAAAAAATCCTGCTAATATCCAATAGTGGAGGGGTACACAGAGAATCGTTTGAAAGAACATTTACGCGTAGTCTGGTAGTGATGAGCGTGTCCACACCTACACGTTTGAGATTCCACGGTCAAAGGTTAAAAAGTCCCTCCGGATACGTCGGAAGTGAAAAAACTTAGCCCAATAGCAGAAGTTATTGCACATCACACGAAATGAAATTCCAAAATAAAAAAATAGAGATAAACTCTAGCTGATTTGAATATAACAGCCAGGAAAATCAGATTCAAAGTAAAATTAGAAGCATCTGTGTTCCTGACAATTATTTGATAAAAAGTGGTTCTGCATGTAACCCCCCAATTTTCTGGCCGCATGTTTACATGGCTTGGCCACCGATGCAGGAGAGAACCTGGCCCAGCTGTCATTTACGCGAGTTGTTTTGACATACTTCAAAACGCGCCCGGTTTTCTCCAGGCTGGCTGTCAAATGCACCTGAAGAACGGGGTTCACAGTGCCGTTAAACGGCCGCAACGGGCCAAGCACGAGTCGGGATTTCCCCAACTGGTGAGGCAGTTGATCGGACGGGTCCCGCAGTCTGAGAGGGTACGTGGTTTCGCTTAGGATTCCCTGAATTCGCTTGCGGCTCCCGGAGGGAGGTGGCCATTAGGCCGTCCGAAGTGCAGCACGAGGAACTACTCACCTTAAGGGGGAGACGACCGCCTTTCGCCCGCTCCCCCCCCCCCTCCCCATCCTTGCAGCGGCTTAATGACGCGCAAACAGCCGCTTATACGGGTTGCGACATATGGTATCGCTCCAGCGTCACGTTTCTGTGCGAATCTGTCGGTCGCAGTTTGGCACTCCCTCTCGGAGCGCGGTATTTGTTCAGAGCGCCGCGGCCGGTGAACTTTGCCCGGGGCTGAGTCGATACACGGCCGGACGACCACACCACGTGGCTCCCAGATTACATTGAGGGCCACCGCCGCACGGCGGATCGCCGTCCAGCCCCGCCTGCCAGCCGGGGCAGGACGAGCGGAGCCGATATTACGCGCTGCTGCATCCGAACTTCGCCGTTCTTTCCAAACAGGGCGGTGAGTACAGTCAATGTATTGAACAAACCACCAGGTCGGTCCAATGCTGCAATAGTGAGCCGCGCCCAGCCTTCATGAAAACACGACGCAACGGACGTGGCTCACATCACGCGCCCGCCCACCTCTGCCAGACTGAAGGGAGCTCGTGGCGGGCGAGACGCTGACCTCATGCCACCGAGGCCTATCACAGACTGCGTCCACACCTGCGCCTGCCGGGCACAGCCCGACAGCGCGACCCCGTGCCAACTGACGGGTGGGTTCCGCCAGGTTTACCAACCGCGTAGCGAGAAACAGACAACACAAAACACTGATAACATATCACCGAACGCCAACACCCAAAGCGAACCCGATCCTGCAGCGTGACCCGTGCCCCCCGCGCGTGCAGAAACTCGTTCAACAGAGAGACGTGCCCCGCCCCCACTCAAGTGCAGTCTACGCAGCGGTGCTGGAATAGCGGCTTTTGCTACTCCGCGGCAGGGCAATCCAACCAAGCCAACGGAAGCCAACCGGCGCCGGTGCCGCCGGCGGAGTACGGCCGCCGGTCCGTGACACGGGGCCCAGTGACCGCCGCTCACCTGAGCCGCTGGCGCGACACGCCGAGGCGCGCCAGCTGCAGCCAGCCCGGCTCTCGGCGCTCCGAGTGAACACGTCTCACTGGCGCGGCAGGCTTCGAACGCCCTCTTACCAACATAAGAGGTCCAACATCGTCCCCTCCCCTCCCTCTCCCAGCCCCGCACGCTGGTCATCCACATCCAGAGGTCCAGGGGCTTCCCTGTTGGTGCAGCAGATTCAGCACGGCCTGCTGGTACAGCAGACTCACAACTAATCACTCCTAGACCGCACGCCGGCGGCGAAGACGCGCCGCGACACGGCCCCCTGCGCGGCAGTTGTCCCCACGCCCTCCATCCTCGCCGGTGCAGCAGCTGCGCTCGCTCACTGGTAGAGCAGATAGACGGCGGCGGCCAGGAGGGCCACCAGGCCGGCGGCGGCGGCTGCCCACCGTCCGGCGCCGGCGCTAGTCGGCTCGGCGGCCGTCTCGCGTCGGCGGCGCTCGCGGCGCCGCCCGCCGCCCAGCTTCCGTTCGAGTAGCTCGACCTCGCGCTGCTGGCGGGCTGCCTGCTCGGCGGCGGCGGCCTGCTCGCGCTCCTCCCGCTCCTGCCGGGCGGGCGCGGTCGGCGTCACGGCCGGCAAACGAGAACAGAGGACGTACCAGGAGAGGGGAGGTCACGCGGCCGCAGGACCTTCTGATTGGCGTCGACGGGCTGCACTGGTGTTTACCACTCGCATGGCGACCCAGCGTAGGGTAGAAACAGCATTCACGATCGTCAGTACCAGCGATGACATACAGCAGTGAAGTATGTTAACCCCCGTGACGACTAAAGGTTGTCTCCAGTCGTTTTGGGTTACATGCCCTACCCCTGCATCACACCATGTTTGTACCTGGGACACCATCAGCGTACTTCTGAATGTTTTGACTTCAAAAATGAACAGCTTTAAAGCTAATGCAATGCATGTCGCACCAGTTTGAGAGAATGCAAGTCAGAAAACCAAGCTCATAGAATTCATATATATATATATATATATATATATATATATATTTATACATACACATATCTGCATACAATCTCGGCCGGCTCTGCCACATCCCGTCTCCCACACGCACACTGGCGAGGAGCGACGCCGGGGCGACCGCCGGGTCCCGCTCGCCGTACTGACCCGGCGCTGCGCCTCCAGTCTGTCGGCGCACTCCTGGTCGCAGTCGAGCCCGGTCTGAGCGCCGAGGTCGCGGCAGGCGACGGCGCGGCTCCGACGGCCGCAGGCACACCGCAGCCGCACGCGCGCCGGGCACCCGTCGGCCGGCGGCGGACACGGGCCGGCGTGGCAGTCCGAGACGCACCGGTGGCCGCACGGCAGCTGCCGGAGCGATGCAGCCGGTCAGCCGAGTCGCCTCGGGGCACGGTGGCCGCCGCCGGCTGGGCTTGGGGGGGGGGGGGGGGTTGAAGGAGACGGACTGAAGGATGGCCGGGAGTCAGCACAGTGCGGAAGGACGAGCAGGACGGCTGCTAACGTACGGGGAGACTGGCGCAGTGGAAGAATCACGGAAGCACGTGCGCGGATCAAGAATTACTTGCGAAGTTACTTGCACACTTTAGGAAATGACCAGGACCAATGTTCTCCAGAATATGGAAATGCTTTGTTCAAGAAATCGACGGATAAGGTTACGTGCAATGGCGGAAATATCTGCCACACGCTTAACATATCAAATTAAGTAAAAAGTCCGAGGGTTAAAAGCCAACTGAAATCAACTTTTCAAGGCCGTTCAATATGCGTATGCACTAGAGAACCCTCAGAGTATCAGCGAACCTAATCCAAATAGTCCCTCATCTTGAGACCCAGTGCCAGGGCCACAGACTGAGCCTCCCCTCCACCGCCTGCTCCGGTACGGTGCGGCTAGCTCGGGCCACGTCTCACCAGTTTGGGGCAGGTATTGCCGCAGGAGAGCAGGCGCTCCGTCTGTTCGGCCGTCGCCTCGGTCAGCTCGTGGCAGCGCACGTGCAGCAGGCCCACCTGGCAGTGGCAGCGCAGCCGGCGGTGCTCGCGGCACGGCGGGCACGGCTCCGCATGGCAGCCGCGCGGGCACGCGTGCTGACAGCCGGCCGGCCGCGGCCGCGTGCACGCCAGCTGACACGTGTCGCACGTGTCGCCCGCCTGCGGCAGGCGGCGCACCGGGCGTCAGAGAAGGCAGACGGCCGGCACGGAGCGTCATCGAGTCCACGACCAGGCAGTGAACATGTCATTGAAAAGCTGCTATAATGTTAATGACAAACGACGGTGCACGACATGACCGTCGACATGACACAAGAGGCACACGTCAGATTTACTGGCAATATTATATATATATATATATATATATATATATATATATATATACATATATATATATATATATATATATATATATATATATATATATATATATATATATATATATATATATATATATATATATATATATATATATGCATATCCTTTGGACTACCAGATGTTGAAAGTGAATCTTACCATACAAAAGCAGCGTCGTCACTGACAGTGCTAAGTCCACGCCGAACCATCGCAATTGATAACAGAAAATACGTCCTACACGGTTTCGTGGCACTTGGTAGGTTTTTAAACCAGGCAAACTACCATATAGTTTTAATAAAAAACCACAAACCAAGGCACCAAGATGAGATCATAAGTAGGTCCAATCCATCTAACTATAATTGAGAAAACTGGACTGTTCAAAACAGCCGACAGCCACTGCCCCATCGCTCGCCACGGCCATCCTCACGACCGGTCACCAAGCGCCCGTGGTATCCGGCGCCTGACATAGACTCCAAGACGCATCCCCGGTGACCAGCGCTGAGCCTGACCTGCTGGTCGTCGGGCGGCTGCTGCACCAGGTGACAGGGCTGCTGGCAGCTGTGGTTGCCGCAGGCCAGGCGGCGGCCGCAGGGCCTGCCGCACGGCGCCGGCCGCGCCACATCGCACGGCATCGGGTACTGGGCGTGCTCGCCCAGACAGGGCACCAGCACCGGCGCCTGCGCGGCGGGGGCATGTCACTGACACCGCTTCTTGTACGTCCCACCTCTCCCCCGTCATCAGTCACTGTGCGGCCTCAACCCTCCCCATCACCGACGCCGTCACTGTGTGGCCCCACTCCTCCCCCGTCACCGACACCGTCACTGTGTGGCCCCACTCTTCTCCCGCCACTGTCCGGGCCCACCCCTCCCCTGTTGCCGACACCCGTCAGTGCGGGGTCCCACCCCTCCCCCGTCACCAGTCACTGTGCGGCCCCACCACTCCCGCGTCACGAACGCCCGTCACTGCGCAGCCCCACCCCTCCCTCGTCACCGACGCCAGTCAATGTACAGGCTCACCACTCCCCGTCACCAACGCCAGTCACTGTGCGGCCCCACCCTTCCCTCGTCACCGACACCCGTCACTGTGTGGCCCCACCCCTCACCCGTCACCCACATCCGTCACTGTGCGGCTCCACCCCTCCCCGTCACCCACACCTGTCACAGCGCGGACCCACCCCTTCCCCGTCACCGACGCCAGTCACTGTGCGGCCCCACCCCTCCCCCTCACCGACGCCAGTCATGTGCAGGCCCACCACCTTCCCGTCACCCACACCCGTCACTGTGCGGCCCCACCCCTCCCCGGCACCGACGCCCGTCACTGTGCAGCCCCACCCCTCCCCCGTCACCGACATCCGTCACTGTGCGGCTAGCCCTCCCTGCAGCCGGCCAACGGTGACACGCAACCGGCGAAGGCGGTCGCTCAGGCTGTGAGAACATAGAAGTAACAACATGGAGCGGACTCACGCAACCGCGGCACACCGAACAGCACGGCGCCTAACCCAACAGCGCACCTAAACAGAGTACACAGCACTGTGGGCCGGTGGGAGGACTACCGCGCCCGATCTGACCAATCAGAGGGCGGCCTGCCACACCTGACCTGACCGAGCCGGCGGGCGACCTGCCGTGACCTGACCCATCAGAGGGCGACCTGCCGGCGGCAGCTGACCTGGCAGGCTGGACACGGCAGGCTGACGGTGACCAGCTGCTCCTGCGGCTTCTCCCAGGGCGTGGCCGCCTTCTTGGCGCTGACGAAGCGTCGCGTCACCTGGGCGTGGCAGGGCCGCGGGCAGCGGTGGCCGCGGGCCGCAGCCCAGCTCGCGGCCGCACTCGAGCGTGCACGGCGGACAGGCGCCCTCGTGGCAGGCGTGCGGCTGCCGGGCCGGGTGGTGGCAGTCGGGCGGCGCGCGGCAGGGCCGCCGGCAGCGCGGCGGCCGCGCGCCCCGCTCCCGGCCGCAGGGCACCGTCAGGCGCGCGCCGCCGCACGGGCAGCGCAGCTCGGCCGTCAGCGGGCACGGGTAGCACGGCCCCGTGTGGCATGGCGACGAGCACTTGTGCTGGCGGCACGGCAGCGTCTTGCCGCAGGTGAGCTCGCACGCCGGGCAGTCGCCCGTGCAGCACTGCCGACGCCGCGCCAGCACAGAGCTCGTTATTTTGGTTAGACACGATGACATCCCCCACTGTGCCACTCGTTTGTCCGCGAGTGCTTCGACTTAGGCACATGTCACGTTGTCATAGTCACAGTCACCCAGTCAGCCACCGACACAGCCAGGCCCTGGACAAACAGCACACCAAGAGAAAATATGATCTCCTTAGGTCATCCATCCTACTTGGTGTATAACTAAGCAAGGATCAAGAGCTGCACAGTACATCTCACAAGAACGGTGCACACAAAACGCTTACGTGGAGGGTGTGCTGTTCCTTTGCTAAATAATAATAGCTATTTTGCATCATATATCGTTTTATTTTGACAGACCAGCTTTTCAGCGGCCGACACACATAAGCCGTTTCACCAGCTTCTACTCCCGAGGCTCGTGCTGCGTGCGTGCCCACCTTCCTGTTGCAGGTGTGCTTGCCGCAATCCTTAAGTCGCTTGCACTTGTTCTCGCAGGTGAACTCCTTGTCGCACACCATCTCTTTCTCCTTCCTGCCGCAGCGGCAACGTTTTACGCGCAGTTGCAGACACTGCCGGCACAGAGGCCCCCGGTCAGGGCACTGTCGACACAGCGGCCACAGAGGCCCGCGGTCAGGGCACTGTCGCCACAGCCGGCAAAGAGGTCCCCAGTCAGGGCAATGTCGCTACAGCCGGCACAGAGAACCCCGGTCAGGGCACTGTCGCTACAGCCGGCACAGAGGCCCCGGGCAGGGCATTGTCGCTATAGCAGGCACAGAGGCCCCCAGTCAGTGCACTGTCGTCACAGCCGGCACAGAGGCCCGCGGTCAGGGCACTGATGCCACAACCGACATAGAGGCCCTCAGCCAGGGACGGACGCCACAAACGAAACAGCCCCCTCCCCTTCCCCCGTCGGGGCACTGATGTCACAGCTGACACGCGCGCCTGGCCGGAGGTGGGCACCTAGACATCAGCCAGGGGGATGTCGTAATCACTAGCCACACGACACCGCCAAACAATATCGACCGGCAGTGACCAACCGGATACAGCACATAAGCACTTTCTCCTACCTCCTACAAGCTCCAAGCGATTCTTCAATAATATCAATACGTTCCTCCTAAACCCACGTCAACGCGAAGAGGCTTTCCAGAAACCTGACCACTGAGGCCAAACGGCCCACCAACGCAGCTGAAACCAGCGACAGTATAACTGCAAAGGAGCGGAGCGGGACGCAACCCATCACGATCTCGACCCGTCCACGAGCGCGACCCAGCGCAGCGGCCGGCCCTGCAGCCTCCGGCGGCCGGCTCACCCGTCGGCAGGCGCCGGCATGACAGCGGTCGGCACACCGGTGCACGCCGCACGCCAGCCACTTGTCGCATGTGTCGCCGCACGTGGCCACCTCCTCGTGGCAGGGCTGCTGCACCTCCGTGCGGCCGCACGGGCAGCGACGGCGGTCGGCGCGCGGACACGGCCCGCAGGCGCCGGCGTGGCAGACGGCGTCGCATCGGTGGTGACCGCAGGAGAGCGGCCGACCGCACACCTGCCGCACAGAGGGTCACGGCAGGGTCAGAGGAGCGAGCGGGCGGGCCGGTCGGCTGGCTGACCGGGGCTCCGTCATCGTCAACACAGCCGGCTGCGGCGGCAATACAAACGGTGGCGATGCCCCTATTGCAAGGCTAGTGAGGTGTGATTACATGAGTGCACATTTCCCCTCCCCCACCCACACGCACACAACAAAATCAGAACTACGCTGCATCAGTACAAGCCAAGTGCATCAAAACCGGCGGTAGTTATCTTGAACAGCTGACCTGCCAGGCCGGGCGTAACGAGGAAATGGTGCCGCCGCGATATTGACGGAGCCTGTCGTGCTGACTGCTCGCCCGTCGGTTACCTTATCGCACTGCCAGCGGGGGCTGGCGCAGGGCCGCAGCTGGGCCTGACTGCCGCAGTTGCAGGGCTGCCGGCTGGTCTGCGGACAGGCTGGACAGGCGCCCGGGTGGCAGGGCTCCGGACAGCTGCCGACATTGCAACCGGTCAGCGGCGAGCGCCGGTGACACCCACAGCACGGGCACCGCGTCAGGAGCTGCTGCCTACACCCGACGGCTGGTCTGCGGACAGGCTGGACAGGCGCCAGGGTGGCAGGGCTCCGGACAGCTGCCGACATCGCAACCGGTCAACGGCGAGCGCCGGCGACACCCACAGCACGGGCACCGCGTCAGGAGCCGTCGCCTACACTCGACGGCTCATGGGCGGAGCAGTCACTGTCTCCAGTGGCGTGAGGCGCAACGGTCAGGAACGCCTGGCGAGGTGTATCCCAAACCGTACACAGAATGGTCCTTTCAACTGATTCCAGGCGGTTGCCATGACACTTTCAAGGCGTGACAAGTCGTCGTGCTTTGCGCAGCATACCGATGCGTGTTGCAGTCGAGCGTCTTGTTACAGGGCTTGCGGCAGGACCAGGCCTTGCTGCCGCACCGTCGCGTGTCGGGGCCGGACGCGCCGCAGTAGCAGCGCGTCTTCACGGTCACCGGGCACGGTGGACATGGACCTGAAACGCAGCACGAGTTAAGACAGGGACGGAAACGGGACTGAAACACGAGCCGAGCCGAGGCATGGCCGGGCACGGCACTGAAAGACGGCAGGGCAAAGGAAAGACGGCAAGGACGTGACTGGTTAGGGTGGACGGCCCGTCACTGGCAGAGCGTAGCAGGCCGCAGCGCGAACAGCTCCAGGTTATATGGAACCACGCACCTAGTACCCATGGTGCACGGACCAGGATCCAGCTGCCGCAAACGATCTCGTAGGTAATACATCACCGAGACACACGCCACTGCCGCGGATCAACGCGCACGCCGATCAGTACTGGGCAGTACCGCGCCTCACCAGTTCATGACTCATCCCAGAGCGTCGCGCGCCGCTCGGGCGCCACTCGCCCGGAGGCTGCGTGGCGACGCGGCGCCCAGCCCGCCCGCGGACGCCGCGTACCCGGGTGGCAGTGGAGCAGGCAGGTGTGGCCGCAGTCGGGCCGCAGCGGCCGCTCGCAGCGCTGTTCGCAGGCGTGCGGCAGCAGCCACGGGTCCAGCGGCGGGTTGACCTGCTTGCCGCAGTAGCAGAGGTAGCGGCTCGGGATCTCCGCGCGGCCGTACGAGCACCGGCAGTTGGGGCTGCGCGCGGCGGGCGCACACCAGGTCACGGCGCGATAGCGGCACCACGACGGAACACACCAGCCTTACACAGGTATTCGAAATCGCCTATGCAAATTTGCCTGCATCAGCCTACTGAAGCATTAGCCGAAGCTGATATACGTAGCATAAAATGATGCACATGAACGGATGTACAAAAGATGGATGTACACCGATGTACAATGATGCCAGACACAATGCACATCCACGCTGGGCAATACAATATGACCCCATGCCTGATCCTTTGGTGTGGCACAGTAACAGAGACAATGCGCATGCCACGGTGCCGTCGACTCAGCGCCGGCTCTCAGGAAGCCGTACCATTTCCAATCCAGCTGGGCGGCCTTGGCGTCGCCGTCCTCCAGGCGGAGCTCCTGCTGACTGAGGCTGTCCCGGGCCCACGTCTGCACGCACGCCAGGTGAAAGCCCACGTAGCACCCGGAGCAGCACCACACCTACCGGCACGACCACGCTACGTCAGGACATGGTGGTGACGTCAGCGGGAGCTTCGGGGCGCGCGCTCAGCCGTGGCCAGTACGCATCCTCCGGTCAGCGCATCGGCGGGGTATGCATGGTAAGAGGTATGCACGGTAAGGTATGCTCACATGACCAGGCCAGCCAGCGTGCTCTTGTCAAGACCCATCCCAGGGACTACACAGAAAGCGACAATTTTCGGAAGTTGACGGGTTTTGTGATCACTGACCATTCATGTCCTGAATAAACACAGCTCACTCTCCAGGAGGTTGAGGATAAGTTTTAAATAAAGTTCAATCGTATACAGCGTGTACACACAGCACGCACGGCGCACGTGATATCAATAAATGCTCTACACTTGTTGCCTTCGGACACGTGAGCCGCTGTCACGCTCACTCCACGCGTTGCTCCATTGTAGGCGTGCTCTTCTCACCGCGTCTGCGCGCTTGACAGTGCCGATACAGATGAGGCACGTGCTGGCGTCAGCGTTCAGGGCCCGCTGCAGATACTCGGACGTGTTTCCCAGCGCGTCTTTCCCAGTAAACTGATTGCAGACTTTGCCTGAAAGTACAACAATCTTGACATGCTATGGGTCCATTTCCGAAAACATATGTGCATGATCACCACCAGTCTTTTAACAAATTTCTCGTCGGTGATATTCGAAGTCCACGACCAACGCAAAATAGTGCATAGCGGCGCTCTAAATGCAACACTCAAAACGCGGCGTTCGCTCACCCAGAATGCGGTCCCGGGTGTCATCGTCCACGTCGTCCCACTCCTCCTCCGAGTCGGAGAGCTCGTACTGCGCCACGTGCTTCTCGGAGGCGGCCCGGATCTCGGCGCACGCCTCGGCGAACCGCCGCTCCGTCTGCGCCTGACTGACCTCCGGCGCCGCGGCGCCAGGCTTGCCACGACCTACCGGCGGCTTGCCCCGCCCAGCTGCTGGCTTGCCCCGCCCCACCGCTGGCTGGCCGGCGCCACCCCAGGCTGGAGCAGCGCGGGCGCGACCAGCACCTCGTCCCGGCATTATCTGTGGGTGGCCAATGCATGTAGCTGGTCATAACAGGGTAGGCACAGATGGCCAATCAATACACCAATGATCTTTACTGGAAAGGTGATTAGGAGTATAAGACAATGTTAAGATTAGGCACACATGAAGGTACTTAAGTGATGCCAAGAGCAGCTCATTTCACCATCCCTGATATGGTGATCTTGAACTAGTAAGGAAGCTGAAATGGCGCACATTTGAAACTGAAAACCATTGGCATCTTTTTCTCCATGATAGCTAAAACAAGTTTCCAAAAATTATGCATATGCACAATAAAACTGAGTTCACTACATAAAAGCTGTGTTACAATAATGACCCAGGAACTCTGACCAAAATAGGGCAAAATACATAAAACTGTCAGATGGATAAATAAGGGAACATTAAAAATATAGATCTGTTTTGTATTAGTGCTGTGGTAATGCCATCACAAGCTTCTAATTCCAAAATACTTAATGACAGGCCCATGTCCAGTTCACGAGTCACTGTATGGTCATAGTGATAATGTATTTTAGCATGTAAAATGTGTGGGTTGGAAAATAAGTCAATTAAGGAGTTAGACACCAGTTATGCTTTAAGGAAACTGGACACAAATATCAAGTTTTAAATTGATTAATCTGAAATGGCAGCTGGAATAGGTATCAGCACTCTTTTGTCCATGGAATATAAAAGTCATCTACCAATAATCACCAAGCTGAGCCAACTATGGTACCAAGGTACTGGTTTTCCATCTGGCCAAGCAGGCATGAAAGTGAAGATATATCTTCTAATTGACTATTCAAAGAGTGACAGTCAAGGCTCAGTGACCACACAGCTGTATAGAAGTGATGCCAGAGACAGCAGTCCCCCACTTTGCTGAACAATATATTTTTTTTTTCAACTCTGGGGAAGACGAAGATGTACCCATATGGCACAGCATGTTACAAAATATAGTTTAAATTCATAATAATCAATCTGCATTCTTCATGAGTTTGTGTGAACTCTACCTCTATGGGTTTTAGTATCAGTAAACAGTAATTTTTGTATCTATCCCTGCAATTGCTGGAAATACCTGCTTTTCTAAAATGCAAAACATGTAGGTCAACAAGTGATTCACATGTAGGTAGGTACATACATGACCAGACCCAGCTGAACAACCATCAGCTATCACTTTCCATGCAGGTTGTACCAGAAGATAATCAGTAAGAAATAGCTCAGCAATAATGTGAAGTGGGTCTCTATTTTCAACAGTTGGCTAGTATTGAACTTCAATGCCATCCAGTTGTCAAATGAAAGAAAACATTCTTATCAATCTTCATACAAAGGTAAAGCCAGATCTACCACCAAACCACTGAGAAAATCATTTATATTACATACATCCCCATACACACATCCCCATGAATCCATGCAAATATCCATGTCTTGTCTCATGGAATGTAATTCGGCAGTGTGAACAGAACATAATAAGCATACTGGACAAATTGCAGTCTGGAAAACCCAGTATTGGAAAAGGCAGCCCTGCCTACCCCCATAATACCTCTATTAGCCCATCTGGATCAATCCCTGCATATCTGCCGTGTGCGTTACGCCGATTTCAGCATTGAACCCATCGGTTAAAACGCGGTATTTGCGAATATATTACATACCAAGAATATTCACCAGCTTAGGACCCTCTTCACAGCATATTTTTACATCTCGACGACGAAAGCGCACGAGCCGGATAAGCACAATAAGAGCACGCCCCAAATGCCTAGACCAAAAACTCCACAGCTACAACAAACTTGCACAAATTAGTGGCATGTTTCCTTTCCAGTTATTAGTACCGATTCATACTGGTCGTTTTTTGGAGCTTATTATATCAGAACAAAATATTCAACAAAATAACAGAAGTGTCAAAAATTTTCAGTACCTAGTATTATTTGAATTATTCAAGGTAAAATAGTGTATTGAATCTTCCCCTAACTTGTTATAAAGGGAATATAGCCGGTTCTACTTTAGATTGCACTCAAGTGACATTACTAATATTGCTACGTGGATGGCAGTGATGCGTCACTATTGTCTTGGTGGATTAAGATTTGTACGGCATTATTTGGATTGGGTGTTGTTGGGCGTGTTGTGAAGCGGTTGCCGGTAAGGTAAGTGTCCTGTGTTAGTGATTTCATAATTTTATTGACGAGGAGCAAAAACAGCCGGTAAGTGTGCATTGTGTAATTTTTATTTGGGGTGATAGGAGGTTTCGTGTTGGGATGATATAGAACAACAATAAGTGAGCGGTGCCTAAGCAAACAGCTGTAGGCCATGAGGACTCATTGTCTGAAACTTGGATGTTTCTTGGTGTTTTTAGCCCCTAGACATTTTGTTCTCCACAAATATACACTGGAAAGAATGTAAAAAAATTGTTCTCTGTGACCGATGTCAGATGGAGGCAAGCTGCTCCTGCAACTTCGACAGCATCGCACGCCACATTCACGATTGAACGAGGGACACTGCTTGCGGGTTACGGCCGAATCTCTCGACCATGTCATTAATAACTTTTCCTTGCAATGCATTCAGTACCCAGGAAAATTAGCAGCTTCTGCATCTACTCATAGACAGTGAGTTTGATTATGCTTTCCTCAGTGTATGGCACTGATCTGGGTTTGTTTATGGTCTTTATCTATAGCTCCTACACATCCCACTGCCACCAGCTGAATGTGATTGAAAGATGCTGTTGTCCCCATGGTTTTTAGATAAATGTCAAAGATTCAGCATGTTAAATGATGTAGAAGTAGGGCACAGTGGAGCAGTTGTCAATGGTAGTCATTTTCTATAGCAGTTTCATCAGCTTTTAGATTGCTTTCCTAGGCTCCTAATGATTTTTTCAGAAAATGTCCATTGACCAAGCTTTGTCTCAAATATATAATGTATTTTGAAAGCACACCTTGTTATTTCAATTAGCACTCAATAGACTTACCCACCTGAGAACAAGAAGCATCTTTGAAACTGTGCTCACAGGGTCATTGAGTAGCACCACTGTAGATAGATGGGAAGATAAGCTTTTAGCTTTTAAGCTTTATGTCTTCATCTAAAATTAAGCTTTTATTCTATGTAGTTTTTGTGTGTCTCTGCTTTATATTCGGGCAGTATTTGTAGGTGGGAAAATGTGTCTTCTGTCCAATGCTAAATACTATCTGAGAACTAGAGGTGTAGGCTAGGTTATTTGCACCAAAAATTTGCTTGCATAAATGAATTGGTGAATATGACAAAAAATTCACCTTAATACCTATCCTGTATTATGCACATTCATCTGAAGGTGATGGCTACCTGCCCAGCTAAAATATTACAAAAAGGTTGTAAAAATTTGGATAGCTATGTAGTTTACTCATAATTTCATGTTGATTTGTATCAGCAGCATCTGAGACAGTGAAGGCTGCAGAGCCAACAATGTGTTCCAGCATTTTCCTTTTGACGTGCATCAATTTCACAATGAAAGCATCATTGCTATTTTTCATGGCATCTTATGGTTGTATCTTTCATATGGGATTGCTTTTCTTTCATAATTGTTGGACACCCTCAAATGACCCAGAGCGCAGTTTCATCAGTCAAAAATTCATCAGGTAAAATGTCCAGGATGTAAATGTAGATTCATGCCATCACAATCATGGTTCTCCGGCAGTCTCCACAGCCCGCGTGTACATGATCCATTGGTGCTAATTGGTTGCCCTTTGACTCTGAACCCAGCCATCTAACTAGTCCAGCTTATTTGTCAAGCCTGGGGCACTTAATTATTCAGTGCTGGGTTGACTGCTGCCTGGTTTGATGTTGATTGCAGATTTTGAGTAAGGGGATGAGCAACAGGTAATAAATCCCAAACCAGGGATGTAACAGCATGCAAAATATTGACATCTTCTACCCAAGTGGTCAAATGTTGAAACACTGCACAATGCTAGCAAAGCAATGGATTTGGTTTTGCAGCAGATATATCATCACAACTGTGCACCGTTTGCAGCAGGAGTCATGGCGACAGAGCAGCCCTGCTACACGCTGATTGCCTCACCATCTGATGTTGAACAGCCCAGTGAACAGCAGTTGAAGGCTGACCTAGGTGAGTGCCCTGTAATTTTGTGTGGAAAATGTTTGACATCAACACTTGTCCTGTTTTTAAAACACTTGCAATGTGGGGCATTTAAAACTGCTTGACATAGCAGCAAAGTTCTTCGTGACATTCGTACTGATGCTTGTGCGTGGAAAAGTGAAGGCTTTCTTTCTCATTTCAGAAAAGGGTGACATTCGAACCAAGACGGATGCACTGAAGAAATGCATTCACGCCATCCTCTCGGGCGAGAAGATACCTGGGATCCTCATGACGGTGATCCGCTTTGTGCTGCCACTGCAAGACCACACCATCAAGAAGCTGCTGCTGATTTTCTGGGAGATCGTGCCCAAAACCCTGCCAGATGGCAAACTGATGCAGGAGATGATCCTGGTGTGCGACGCGTACCGTAAGGTGGGTACAGGAAAGTCTCGGCGGACGGCAAGCACTTGATGCAAGGTCTTAAGCAGCAGCAGCGTCTGCCCTGGACATATGAAGTGTCATGGCCTGCCAAATGTCCGCCTCCGATTTTGAAAGCCAGGGCTATTCCTGGTTGTGAGTGGCCTGCTACTATGCTGGTGTCCTGCGCTGACGGACTCCGATTGGCTGGTTCCCGGCGGTGACGGTCGCCGATTGGCTGGTGTCCCACGCGGGCGGACGCCGATGGGCAGGTGTCCCGCGCCGCGGACGCCGATTGGCTGGTGTCCTTCACTGCGGACGCCAATTGGCTGGTGTCCCTCGCTGCGGACTCCGATCGGTAGGTATCCCGCGCCGCGGACGTCAATTGGCAGATGTCCCCCGCTGCGGACGCCGATTGCCTTGTATCCCGCGCTGACGGACGTTGCTTGACCCGTCAGGACCTACAACATCCGAACGAGTACATCCGTGGCTCGACGCTGCGCTTCCTGTGCAAGCTGAAGGAGCCCGAGTTGCTGGAGCCGCTGATGCCGGCCATCCAGGCCTGCCTGGAGCACCGACACTCTTACGTGCGCCGCAACGCCGTCATGGCCATCTTCACCATCTACAGGTGGGCGTCGCCCTGGTCTAATGTGGAGGCAGCTGCTGTCCGGGAGCTACTCGGGAGCAGGAGCGGCTGTCCGGGCGTAGGCTTTGCCGGTACAAATGCTGCCTGTGCGCTTCGAATTTTATGCCATGTTGGTGTTATGCACTGTATCTGTTGCCTTATGGACATGGAAGAGGAAGCGTTGCATTCGTTTTCGACAATTGCAGAGCCCAAGAGCAGAATGATTGCTTGGAGTCTGTTACACAGTAATATATTTGCACTGCTGCAGCCTTACAATCCTTAACCTTAACTTGTCATTCCTTCCGCCGTCTGAACGCCGCTCCGTCTGACCAACCGTTCCGTCTGACCATCTGCTCCGTCTCACCGCTGTTCCGTCTCGCCGCTGCTCCGTCTTACCGCTGCCCTGTTTCACTGCTGCTCCGTCTCACCACTGCCCCATCTCACTGCTGCTCCGTCTCACTGCTACCCCGTCTCACCGCTGCCCCGTCTCACCTCGGTCCCGTCTCACCGCTGCTCCGTCTCACTTCTGCCTCATCTCACCTGTTCTGTTTCACCACTGCTCCACTTCACTGCTGTTCCGTCTCACCGCTGCTCTGTCTGACCACCTGCTCCGTCTCACCTCCGTCCCGTTCTACCGCTGCTCCGTCTGACCGCCTGTGCCGCCTCTGCCGGCAGGAACTTCGACTTCCTGATACCGGACGCTCCGGAGCTGATCGCCAGCTTCCTGGAGGGCGAGCAGGACATGTCGTGCCGGCGCAACGCCTTCATGATGCTGATCCACGCCGACCAGGACCGCGCGCTCGCCTACCTCTCCTCCTGCATCGAGCAGGTCAACACGTTCGGCGACATCCTGCAGCTGGTGATCGTCGAGCTCATCTATAAGGTGCGCCGCCGCGGCTACGCTGCTGGACCCATACGCAGTGTGGCGCGTGGCTCCCGGATGACATGGTGATAGGTTTGTATTGCACTGGCCAAGGCCAGTCTGAAACTCCATGCTCTGAGTTCGCTTAGCTTTCTGTGCCCGGTATCGCGGAGAAGCGGTGGTGACTGTTGCTGCGTGGGCTGTGTTGTGATAGCTCGGGTTGTATTGTGGTGGCTGTGGCGCACGACACCGCTGACAGTGGTGTGCCGGCGGACAGGTGTGCCACGCCAACCCGTCGGAGCGCTCCCGGTTCATCCGCTGCATCTACAACCTGCTGAACTCGAGCAGCGCCGCCGTCCGGTACGAGGCGGCCGGCACGCTGGTGACGCTCAGCTCGGCCCCCACCGCCGTCCGGGTCAGTACTGCCACCCTCCCGCCGCCGTCCGGGTCAGTACCGTCGCCCCCCCCCTCCCCCCACCCCCCCACCCCCCACCACCGTCCGGGTCAGTGCCGGTGCCCTCCCACCACCGTCCGGGTCAGTACCGGTGCCCTCCCACCACCGTCCGGGTCAGTACCGCCACCCTCCCGCCGCCGTCCGGGTCAGTACCGTCACCCTCCCGCCGCCGTCCGGGTCAGTACTGCCACCCTCCCACCACCGTCCGGGTCAGTACCGTCACCCTCCCGCCGCCGTCCGGGTCAGTACCGTCACCCTCCCGCCGCCGTCCGGGTCAGTACCGTCACCCTCCCGCCGCCGTCCGGGTCAGTACTGCCACCCTCC